CAAAGCATCACCAATATGTGGATTTGCTGATTAGATACATCTTCAGGAAATAAACATCTTTTCCTCCTTCCCCCCCCCCCCCATAGCAAATAAAGATATTTGGATGGAAGAACACATTCTTTCCTGTTCCTCAAGCAGATGTTCTGCATCCTTAACAGATTTTGCATATTAGCCTTCTGGTATCCATTCCAGACTTCCTTTTATCTTTGATTTCTCTCCTTTTGTGCTTCTTTAAGCTTTGTACCCTCAAAAGAGTTATATAAAACTCATGTTCTCATATATCTAAAGCATAAGTAGCAGTTTTGAAAAGATTTAACTAATCTGTTCTAATTTCTTTATCATCTTAATTACAAGCTACAGTTTCCAGCATATTAAATTCTAGGTCCCATAATGCAAAACCTTAATCCTAGGCTAAGTAGGACATGAAACAAGCATCCCTCTTTGCCAGGTTACTAGGAAGATGAGGAATGGCATTCACCACCATTAAACTTCCTCAAAGACGAGAGCCACAATGATACCATGCTCTTCCACATTCTGTGCACTCGACCACACACTGACACGCTGCAAGATTAAACGGAGAAAAACACTGCACACATTTTTGGTGGCATTTGCTGCTGCCAAAAGGTCTAGCACATCACACAGTTATCCATTAGTAGCCTTCACGTTTGGCCTTAGTAGTAGTCATCTTCCTTCTTCCAGTAGAATATCCATGTGAAATACAGTTTTCCGTCAAATAGAAGTCATATTCCTCTTTCTCACAAGTTTCATTTTGTTATTTTGTGCTCAATTTCGTGATTTTACTGTGCATTTCTGGACATTACAAACTAGTACAAAGGGCTTCCTACAATTTCTTCAACTGAAAGTGTCATTAGTATGCTGGTTACTTCTTTTTAATCATAAAAATGGATTTAACTCCAATTGCAGCAGTACCCCTTTGGAACACCTCATCCCTGACTGTGATTCTTTTCAATTATGGACTGTGAACAGGCACATCAAAATTCCTTTTTTTTTTTTTTTTTTTTTTTTGTACCAGGGTAGATCACTCAGTTAGAAAGCTCTTTTGACTTTCCTTGTATTGATTAGGGGAGATCTGGACTGTTCCCATGCTGCATTACATCCTGTATATCTAACTGTCTCACAGGCAGTGCATCTATATTTCACTGCAAGCTGATTACATCAGACAACTGGCTTTTGATTCTCACTACTACGATTTTAAGGCAACAAGCAGTGAAGAACATATGGCACCATTGCTACAGGACTAGGATTTTTAAGCCTTCTAGAGAACCAGCTGACCTCTGACTTGCATTCAGTAATTCTCTGATTTTTAAAATCTCAGCAGTCTATGCTGCATAAAAACTGTCAGTTAGCTTAACAACCTGTACACATGCAGCATAATGTCTTCCAATAACACTGCCTGCCAGGAGTCACCATCTGTACTTCCTCTGCTGAAAGCAGCCAAACTATTATGCGAAGTTGGGTTAACGTAGGAAAAACATACAATATTTCTCGCCACAAATTTCAGGGTGTACAAAGGCTTCACCTTCATTTTCTAGGTGCACAAAGATTCACATTTTTATATCATTTCCATCAGGTTCCCAGACAGCAAAAGCAAGGAGAGTAAAATTACTAGAGCACAGCAAGGTCTTTGGAAGCATAAAGCTTTTCAAGTCTCTGACAGCCGGTTATGTCTTCATGTGACATGTTCTGAGGGAGTGAAAAAACAAAACTACCCTATCCATCAGCCATTAGAAACAGAGTGATGGAGCTATTTAGATGGTGGGGGAAGCATATGAAAATGTGAGCTTTGCTTTGACTAATGCAGGTGCAGCTGCTTAGCTGGTATAAACTGATAGGATAGTGACAAAACGCACAGCTGAGGATCTGCCCACATTCTGTTGTCTTCTCTTATCTAAGTGAAAGTGTCAATGCTCCACATACACTATGCTCCTCCACAGCAGTTACATCAAAGTGAGTTAGAGTAACTAATAACAAAAATTACCCTCACAAAGCTGGTATTGCTGACAGTCTGTGCTGCCAGGACTGAATCCCCCAATTCTTGCCCCACTGACTGTCCTGCAGGCACAGAGCTGTGTGCCCCTGGCCCTTGAGGAGGAGGCCTCAGCTAGGTGGAACATTAAGGGCTCACAAGGCCTGGCCTCACCCAGTGGGGCAGCTTCTATTCTTCCTCACAATCTATGGTACAAACACATCACACTACCTTTGCTGTCTCCAGGGTAGGACGATGTTCCACAGTTCATGGTTCAAGCTATCTTCCTTGACTAATATAATGCATTCTGCTCTATGCTTGCTTTCATGGTGTCTAACAAATGACCATTACTACTACACACACCACAGCTTTCTAGGTCTCAAGCTCTCAGTATTTTGAGAATTTTCTAAGAACTGAAGCCAACAAAACAATAGTAGTTTCAGTCTGAACCCTAGAGAAAAAGAAAAATTATTTTGTTCCTGAGCATTTTTACAGTCATCCTAAAGACCCATACATAATAATTGGTTGGAGAAGGGAAATGCAAGAACAATCACTAAACTCACATGTAAGCATGCTATTCTCAACCAGCATTTAAAAAAAAAAAAAAAGAAAAAGAAAAACCTGTAAACTGATGTGCATGACTGCTAAGATATAGGAACTCACAGGTACTCATATGCTACACTTTCACTACTTTCCAAGAAGTACTTTTCTGAAGAAAGTTGCTTCTGTATGTGTGAAAATACCATCTCCCTACCTATGTGACAAAACACACAAAGTTTCTTTGTTGCTCTCTGAGATGAAGGAGGTTTGGGGGGGGGGGGGGGGGGGGGGGGGCGATGAGAAAATGCATGTAGGGTTGGCTCCAAAAGTATTAGATTTACCTTAGAAAGAATACTGGGATACACAGGTGTTATGTAAAGCTATTGCAAAAACTCTTAATGTGTTTGCTTTACCTGCTATGCAATCAATATTCATTCAGCAGATCAGCACACTGCAACACAGAACATTTTATTACGATAATCTGTATGCCATGTTTTCAGTATTTGCTGGAGTAAGCTTCATTACAGCATTGGGGTTGTTTTGAGGCCTTGATCTTTATCCAATTTTCCAGTTGGGTTGTATACGGCACAAGTAGGTCAAATGACTTCTCCAAAGTTACAGAGAAAATATATGATTTACTTAAAATCAGAGGTCCAGGACACCCCATCTTTTTATCGCTCACGCTTGAAAAGTGAAATCCTAGTTCATATGTCCCAAATGACTGGTATTCTGCAGAAAAGAAATTATCTTTACAAAGAATTTTTCTGTAATTTGCTTTCTTTATTATAAATAGCTATGCTAGAAAGCTGTTTTGGTATAACTAGCATTATTATGCTTATTTGTTCCCCTTTCCATGTTATATGTATACAAGTAATACACGCTAGAGACACATACACTACAGAAGTTCAGAATTTATGTTTTAAGCTTTAAGGATAAGGTTTGATAAGTTAGAGTCATTCAACATTTCTGAACAACAGGTACTCTGATCCCTAGAGCTTCCAGACTAAACAGTAGCAAAAGAAACTTCATCTTGAACCTAATCACTGCAGAGAATATCTATTCCTCTGCCTCACTGAAAACCAAAAGTAGGTCAAATAAATAACTATGCCTCTCTACTACCAAGAGACTTACTGAAAATTCAGTTGAACGCTCAACAGATGGTCTTAAAATTTACCTAAAAGAAAGCGTTCAATGCCACAGAAATATACTCAAACTAGTCATCCTATTACTTGAAAGAAACCACCTACATCTTACCTAAGAAATAAAGGTAGAACACTGGTGCAGCTGTTTGTTGGATTTTTTTGGTGTGTTTCCCCCACCAAATACCTCAACTAGGAAGATATAGGGAGCACCTGGAATCTCCACTGATCCATAAGCCAATCTAGTCCTAAATTCAGATGTGCCTTAGCCATTCTAAATGCAAGGATGAAAATCATGATAACAAGGAGAATAGCTTTGTGCATTGTACAGATTCAGAAAGGAAGTGTTAAACTTTTAAAAATTCAATTATTTGTATGTAATTAGGACTACATCAGTTGAGTAAGTTAGAGCATAAGATATGTATGCTTACAGAAAGTGAAAAAGAACTACAATTATAGACAGAAAAATTTTGACTAAAAAGTCCTTTACATTTCAACCTTTTATATGAATGTTTATCTTATAAAACATGCATTGGCCGAGTAAGGATCAAAAACCAGCTGTTATCAGATGGGGAATCCAGATTTTCAAGAGTTCACAGGCATAAAGTCTCACCAGGGCCAAGTCTGAGCACAATACGTAGCAAACACCATAAGAAGTTAATAACTTCTAAGACTTACACATGAAAAAATAAGTCATCTTAATTGTGAAAATAAAAGACTATCCAGCAAGCAAAGTTTTGAGAATTGTAAAGTGAAGCAGACCTCAAAGCACTTAATTAGCTAAGTGCTAACTTCACAGATTTTAAACATTTCTGAGGGAAATGCTCTTCCTTCAGGGTGCTCGTTACAATACATAGTTATTAATACCACAAATAGTTTGAATTACCTAGTTTACATTTTTAATACCAAAACAGGCTTAGATAACGCTGCAACACTACGCTTCTTCACTGATAATAGTTGTACACTGAACAGTATGTTAAGCAACAGAGTTTTGTACACATACACTATCTGTGAAATTCTCTATATGCTCAATTAACTATCTTCTGGAGCCTAAATGCACTAATTAAGTCTACTAGGGCAACACTATATATATATATATATATAATATTTTATATATATATTGTTATATATATTATATATATATATACACTATATATATATTTTATATATATATATAAACAAAAAACACATTGGAAAGGACTATAGACTCAAACTGCAAACAAATCAACTTGATCAGGAAAAAGGCTGCCAAAATTGTCTTCCAAAGGCCACGTTACAGATACCATTACCCTCACAGCAGATCCTTCCCAATCCTTCCCAAAAATTTAACTTACCTGCAGCCTATGACTGTCCTTCCTTCCACATCCAAAAGTTTCTCTGTTTTTTCCTGAACTCAGCTCAGAATACTTCTGTTCTTTCCAACCACATTTCTCAAAGGAAAACTTGACTCACCTCTTCCTGACTCTTTATCTCCTACAGCTGGGCCAATTTACTGCTCTTTAATGGTAACTTTTGTTAACTCCTTCATTACTAGAAGGAGTTCATAAATAGGTATAATACTCTGAGACGTGAGATCAAGTAGTGGATCATGTCCTAATAGGAATTGTAATTTATAAATTTATTTTGAGCTGTTCTTTTATGCATCAATCTTTTTACAAGTCATAGAAAAGACTGGTCCTGTAGCTGTGTTTGTGGTATCTGTTCTTTATCTTACACATTTCAGAAAATTTCAAGGTCAGAAGAAAAGACTCTAAAGTATAAGTATTGCATTTATTATGATAATTTTGCCAGCAGGCAACAAACTGATGACTGCTATTTTAAAAAGTCACATCTAGTAATAATTTAGTACTGACAGATTTACACACCTTCTGACAATTTGCATAATTTAGTCTTTACCACCATTATAATTTCTTTCAATTTTATTTACAGTGGTCACTGCATTCTTCTCTTCAGCAGTGCAAGAAGCCACTTGTTCCCCTAGTAGTATTCAGTGGGAAATTTTTGGAATCCTTAATTGCTTGCTAACTTCACAGAACATGTGCAAGGTACACTAAGTTAAAGCATGTCTTAATTTAGGTTTCACTGTCATATAAACAAGACTGTTAATTTATTGGCCTTACATAAAGCTGCCTCTGTGGACCAATGCATGCCCTTTTCTACCTAGCTGACAGGGAGCAACTGGTAACAACACATGCTAATATTCTATTTGCACTTGAAAGAGAGAAGTTCTTAATCACAAATGGAGCAATAATTTGAAATACTGGTTTTATGCATATGTTTTATCACTGCAGACAAGTGGGCTTCTGAGATCTTCAGGAAAGATTGGATTACAGTGTTCTGAGATAACTTTAAAATTTGAGGACATTTAAGGAAGTATTCAAACTGGCAGAGACTTTCCCAAACATTCAGGCTTGGAGAGTCAGAATGGAAATGATTTACATAAATTAAATTATGCTTGAAAAAGGCAGGATTAAGAAAAAGTAGAGAACCTCAAAAGGAGTGCACAGAGGATTCAAGGGGATAATGAAGGAGACCAAAGAGGATAGCAGTTTGTATTTTGTTTAACTCAATAATCTGGTTTAATCCCACTGAATGATTGCTTACTTCAGGCTAACTACAATCAAATCAGGTCTCTATCAACTGGTTGCTGGGCTATAAATATTAAGATTAACTATTACAATCATTTCAATACTTCTCAGTCCTTACAAAGAGATACTGTTGGCTGACACTGCAAACTATGTTTTTTGTTTTTCCTCACCCAGTTTATTCACACAAGTTCTCCCATCTCTATTTCATATACTGACTTCAGGCTTTGAAAGGACCCTTTGTGGGAGTACTGTTGGAAGTTTGAAGTTCTGAATGGTACCACAAATTTTTAAATGATGTAGAAAGAAAAGGTAACTATTCATATTAATTTTCTGTCATTTTTCAAGGAATGGAATTCTTAGAGGCAAGGATAGTATGAAAATGTTGTCAACTCTTAGATCTTTACTTTAAAAAAAAAAAAAAAGTTAAACACAAGCATGACTAATCAAAAAGGGACAGGACTCACAGAATCGGCCAATTCACAGAATCTTTTTCTATTTGTCACTTTCTACGACATCTCCGTAACTTTTAGACTGGCAATTCAATTTAAAATAAATTAATAGTTGCACACATTATATAAAACGTAGTGTATAAACCAAGATGTCTAGGAGAAAGCAAAACATAGTTGATGTGATTTCCCTACCCCACGAAAATTTTATTTTCCTTTTTATTAGGGTCTTGCCCAGGTCCACCCTACACAGAAGTGCAATACCTTTTTCTGGTCACATGGCCCCTTTTTTCTTCTCTTACATCTCCAAGGTTCTTTTGGGTGACTGTGGTGAGTCTGCTGACTGCAGCTCACGCTTGATGATCCTAGTGTTATTCATCGTCTGTGACTGCCTAATTGGCACGTGCTGCCTCAATCACTGTCCAAATGCTCTAATTAGCATTCACAATATCCTCAGGAAAGAGAGAGCAAGTGTCTTTTGTAGATTGTTTAGATATCTCCTGTTTCATATACAGGATTTATCCTCAGAAAAACTTGTGATGTCTGACCTTGATATATCTGGAAAAATTTTCCTGGGCATGCTGCCAGACATTTTGTTTGATATGTACGTTTTTCTCCCTCTTGGCCTTCTTGTTGTATTTTTTCTCCTTCTTGCTTCTTGGCTTTTTTTCATAACTACTTTAGGTTTCATTATATGTACCCAAAGGAACTAGCATTGTGGATCTTTCCTATCATACCTTTAAAATGTTGATCCTAGTAACACAGGGAAAGCAGGAAGAAAATTTCTAGAAAAAAAAAAAAAAATATATATATATATATATATATATACATATATATATATATATATATATATATAAAATTTCCCTAGAAAATCAGGGAGGAAATTGCAAAAGCATGCATGCAATTTAGAAACTTATAGTTCATTATCTTTCAATCTGACAACTCTGATATAGTTGTACACTCACATCGACTATAACAATAATAACAATAATATTTTACTGTTTAAATAGTACAGGGCTCAAGGGTTGAGATAAGGACAGGGAGCTCACTTAAGTATTGTCATGGTCTAAACAGAGCAGGGAGACAAGTCTAAATTGCCTATTACTAACAAGTGAGAAACAAAGGAAAGGAACCAAAAAATCCTTTGCCCCATCCACACTCTTCCACCTCCTTGCCTCCCCGGGTGGTGCAGGGGAACGAGGGAATGGGGGCTGTGGTCAGTCTCCAATACTTCATCCCTGCAGCTCCATCACAGTCATTTTCTGCCCCTCCTCCAGCATGGGGTCCCTCTCACGGGATGCCGTCCTTCACAAACTGATCCTGCATGGGCTTCCCACAGGCAGCAGCTCTTCAAGAACTGCTCCGTACTATGGGGTCCATCCCCCAGGAGCAAACTACTCCAACACAGATCTCCCATGGGTGGCAGCTCCCCCCAGTCCCTCTGCTCCTGCGTGGGCTGCAGCTCCGGCCTGGGGCCTGCTCTGGCAGGGGCTCTCGATGCCACATCCACCTGCTCCACTGGGCTGCAGCGTGGAGATCTGCTCCATGTGGGACCCATGGGCTGCAGGGGGACAGCCTGCTCCACCAGGGGCCTCTCCACAGGCCGCAGGGGAACTGCAGTTTCAGCACTTGGAGAACCTCCTGCCCTCCTCCTGTGCTGATCTTGGGGTCTGCAAGGCTGGTTCTCACTCCTCGCTCTCCCAGCTGCTGTCGAGCAGCATTGTTTTTCCCCCTTTCTTAAATCTGCTCTCACAGAGGCACAAACATCGCTTGTTGGCTCGGCTGTGAGCAGGAGCAGGTCACTTTGAGGCTGGCTGGAACTGGCCCTTTTCTAACAGGGCAGCTTCTGGATTCTTCTCACAGAGGCCATCCTTGCACCCCCCCACTACCAAAACCTTGCCCGTAAACCTGCTACAGGCATCCAGAGCTTCTATGGGCAGCCTGGGCCAGGGCCTCACAACCCGCGTGCACACATTTAGTTTCCCAGTTTCACTGCCAACCTGATCTTGCTATTCTCATAAAAATAAAAATTCTGCTGAAAAAGATCAGAATATTTATATGTTTCATTTTATTCCTTTCAGCTTATTCTTCTCCATGTTTCAATATATAGATAGAAAGAAATAACTTGACTCAAAGCTAGAGTCATAGACAAATCCTCCACCTTTCTCCTTTGTGTGGGATTTTAAAACATTCTAGTATGGATTTTGCCACTATTCTCATTTTTTCACACTTTTATCTCAAAGGGCTTTGTAAAGAGTTAGTTTATAAGTATGTATGGTAACTGCACATGGAAGTATGGTGGCAGAAACAGCTTATGTGTTGCTGTCTTCATCACTAGGAGCAGTTTTCCTCAAAAGCCGCTGCTGAGGAGGAAGACTACACTTTCTGGAAACTGCTATGGAACCTGTAAGTTGAATTTCAGCACATTTGAAAACAAAGTGTTTCTATTTACATTCGAGCCACAATTAATTAAAATTAAGTTTATATCTGTGAGATGACTGTTTCTGTTCTGAAACTAGTAATGTTTTGAGTCTTTTCTCCCTACACCTCCTCAATCGCTGTCTGTGACACATCAACACTTTCTGCTTTATTTCTATTAGGTATAATTTTATTGTTATTATTTTTATTTATTTATATTATTTTTTTTTTTTTTTTTTGGTGGAGATCTAAGTATAAGTACCCACACAGATTTATTCAGATTTTCTTTTTTAGAAAAACAGACCTGAGTGATACACATTACCATTTTCAGATTTATATGCGAAGTGGGCACAAGGCACAGCTTTCTTATAACTATTTATTCTGCAGATTAAGTCACAATAAACTTTTTGGAACAGTTTGTCTGTCAATAGTAGAATTCTGCCCCACAGAGATTCCCAGTCTTTTCCATAATGTTGTACTAGAGTTAACCACCTGACACTGGTTACTGTCCTCTCAGTTAGAAGGCCTGGCTGAAAGAATTTACCAATTACAATTAGCAACACAAGATTTATGTAAGTAAAACCCCAAATTATGAGAGTACAGAGAGCTTTCTATTTTTCAGACCAATGATACTAAGCATCTCTGAACAACTTGTAGGAAACAAGTACTGTGCACTTTTAGTGAAACATCCATGAAAGTTCTCATCTTTCCCTCACCCAGCTTTGCCTCCTCCAAAAGCTATATGAACATTTGACTGTGCTTTTACTGGATCAGGCCCTTGTTATTACACTTATAAAATGATGCATACTGTATCATGGCTATACCCTACATAATGCAAAATTATGTCACACTTGTACTTGAAGTTGTTAAGACAGTGCCTTTAAAACACAACGAAGGTGAAAAAAGTGAAGGTGCTAATAACTGGAATTTTCTCAACTCTTAAGTGCTCACTTCTCTAACAAATTCATTTGAGAAAACAGTTGAGATAAAATCTGTCATTGTACCAAGATA